CATAGCTTTAGGGATCACTGAAAAGTATTTCTAGATTAAGTATAGTTTGTAATATGGGTTAGAAGGACACAGTAAGACATATACCAGTATAAGAAGTGTACTTGGTGTTTTAAAATAAGAATAGGATCTAAGTCAAATAATGCTTGCAAAATACGACTGATAGATTTTTAAAAATCCTCCATAGATGGGTTCAGTGAAGGATGCAAGTGAAAGAAGCAATGAACCCAAAGAGAGAACAGCAGAAATTAACCAAACTGAACAAAAGTGAGAAAATAAAAGAAAAAAACAAATGGAGATACATGAAACTATAATCAAAGATCCAACATTTGTGTCATCAAAGTCTCAGAGAAATAAAGGAATCTCCTAAAAAAAAAAAAAAGTGTCCAGAGAAACAACAGCTAGAAATTTCCCATGTTTGGCAAATGATATAAACCAAAGAAACTGAGTGAAACAAAAAGAGTATGAACTCAAAACTCCCCATGCCGAACACATTGTAATAGAACTCCGGTAACTGGAAAGCAAAAATCTGGAAATCAGTGGGAGGAAGCCAGGCGTTGCCCAGGGAAAAGCAACTTGAGAGACGCCAGCTATCTTGAGGAACTACGGAGGCCGGGAGGGAGCGGAACAACGTTTTCTGAATGCTGTAGTAGACGTCAGCCCTGAATTCCACAGCTCACAAACTGACCTTCAGCAATGGAACAGAATACAAATGTGCTCAGATGAAGGAGGTATGTGAGGCCAACCAGCCAACCCTGCAGGAAAGGCTAGAGAAGCTCTGCAACAGAAAGAAAGGGAAAACTCAGAACACCCTTCGGGAAGGTAGAGAAATGCGAAGGGCAAAAATACGGATGCTGCTGCTTTGGAGCCGAGTCTGCCAGCAAGAATGTGGCGCTCTGGAGAGAACGCACTGGAGGGGGGAAGTGCCAGAGGGGAATCCGGTGGCAGCCACCTGTCTCGTGCCCTGATGTCCGCCGCGTGGTCCACTACGCCTGTATTTAGTTCATGTACCTGCAAGCATACCTAGTATAAAAATAAACTTTTGATTTGCTGGTGAGTCTTGTTGCTCCGACAGCCTGGAGACTCCCTTCTAGGGAAGAGTGCAAACCGTCACAAACTCCACCTTCCACACGGTGGAACCAGGTGGGAGCTAGGCGGTACCACCAAGGCATTTTTGCTGTCAGGCAGGACTCCAGGGCGGATGAAGGGGGGCACTGTGGGGAAGAGCGAGCTACCTTGGTCCCAGGAAAGGTCCAAGCTGAGGAGGGGCAGAGCCTGCCGACATCCTTCCTCCCCTCAGTGCAGCCCCTGCCTGGCTTCCTCCTGCTCTGAGAGCCCCCCATCTGCCCTGCCATGGCGGGAGTTTGCAGGCGGGAGAAATAGAAGATCCCAGAAATGTTCACCCTCTTGAAGCATCTCTGCCTCAACCCCAAACCTCTGGCCCTGGCGACCTCTGGAGCACACGTTTGAATCCCAAAGGCTGGGGGAACGCCCAAACACTCCGCCAGCAGCTGCACGGTGACGTGCCGCATTGCTCACATCCTCTTTCTTTCTCCCTTCCCTTCTGATCAGGTCCACGCTGGGCCTGATGGTGCGGTTTGCGAGGGCCCCCACCCCGGCGGCCCCGGGGCTTATCTGACACTCGGCACTTGCTCCTCCAGCAGCAACTGTAGTGCCCTGTACTGGGCTGGGCTGGGAAGAGTTCGGTTGGAACGTGGGAGTGGATGGACATGTCCTGTGCCACCAAAAGGATGACTCCAGGACAGGTGGGTGCAGTTCTGTGGCGGCACCAGGGAGCCTTTCCCGCCTCGCTCAGAGGCAGCTCTGACTCCAGAAGCCTGAGGCTCCATGCAGGTGTGGTCATCAGGTCCTGCTGATGCTGCCCAGCAGCTGGCCTGGGCCCAGCAGGGCGCTCCAGGAAGCCCACAGGTGGGGGAACTCGAGAGGGCAGGTTCAGAGTGCACAGAGCTCTGCAGGGCTTCAAGGCCCCACAGCCACAGGGGCGGGACTTAAATACAGCCACGCCCACCAAGCACCTGCAACCCCCAGGCAGGTGGTTCCTCCTCCCCCCTAGGCAGTTAGAGACCCTGAGAGGACTGCTTCCAACCTAGGCCGACACCCTACAGAACATTCCTGACCATGATGTCCAGCAGCTGCTGTCCCTTGGGTCCCTTTGGCGTCTTTTGGGTGAGTGCTCCTACAAGAGCCACCCGGGTGGTCCGCCACTGCTCAGTGATGCCGCGAAGGCGAGAACGAGCCAGGCATCACTGCAGTGAAGAGGTTAGTTGGACCGGAGCCAGAGACAACGGTGTGCCCTGCTCAAGTGATTTGACTGGGGGGCCAGCACACAGCGGTACAAGGCCAGGTTACCCTTTGATTATCTAGACACCTTGGCTTGTCCTCTGAAAGCTGAAGTTAAACATTGACTTGTTTGCTGTCCTTGTTTATCCTTGTGGGTTTCTAGATTTTTTTCTCTGTTTCAAATAGCAAGTCCACTCTATGTTTCAAGGCTCTTTCATTTTCATTATGCAGCTAAGCTAACACAGGTCCACTTTTGAGGTCTGTAGGATCACCACATTTATTTTCCCAACTTACTGGCTCTGATCCAATGCCCTGAAAGATGCAGCCAGAGGACCCTCAGTTTGTCCCCCACGGGGCGCTATCCCTTTCACATTAAAAGTCCCCTTGGCAGCACTGGTCAACAGAGTCCTTTGAATTAACTGATCATTTAATTTTCTCCTGAATATCTTTTCACTGGTGAATGCAATACCATGGATGCAAGGGGCCTTTTAAAAACTTCTGGAGGAAGCTGGTATGTGATTGCTTTGAGCAGGAAAAACTCTTCTAGATTCTTAAAACAACAAAATTAACTTTAAATCTCACAACACATTAGGTAATCTGTTTGTCTCTCTGGTATTTTAATGTCATTTTGAGGAGGCAGCGGTTGTTTCTGAGGAGGGAAAATAGACCATCCCCTTTCAATTAGGTCACAAGTACTTTAATTTTACAACGACTTGTTTTATCACCTACTTCTACCCTGGTTTTTATAGTGTGCATGTTTTAAAAGTTTTTATCTTGATGTTAATAATGGCAGGTCCAAAGGCAGGTGAGGGGATTTTGTGAGAACAAATAGTGGTAGATGTTCCAGCTCGTGGTCACCCACAACGTGACCGGCAGGCCATCTGCCTACACGGGGACCACCAGACGCAAGCTTTCTCGTTGTTAATTAGTCATCATCCCAAGCTAGCCAGAGTCAGGGGGGCATCGGTGGTGGGGAGAGGTCCCTAGCAGAGAGGACGGGGACAGAGGACAAATGAAGACAACCATCAGTTTTTGCTAGTCAGGCACGCCACCCTGCCTGATCTCTCCTTTCAGATGTGCTGTCCTGAGTGGAGGAAATGCTATAAATATCCCCTCCACATATCACGGGAGGAAGATGCAATGCAAGGGGGGTGTGTGTCACTTGTGGTGGAGTGGAATTCCTTCACCCTCACTCAGAGCCGTTCCTCGGAGTCCTCCCGCTTTAAAGTGGTCCCCGCATGGGTCTCCCAAAGCACCCCGTCCCGTGCCAAGCCCTTTATCTCTGCTTTTTATCTACCGACGGAAATACGAGCCATGCACGCGAAATTAGCTCCATAAATAAATGCGAGTTTTAATTGCCCAACCAGCCCCAGCCCAGGAGCTGGTGGGGACGTTCTCTGGCCTCTTTCATCTGGGACACGGCTGGCGGGGAGTAGGAACCCTTGTGTTTTCTCCCATGGGGGAAGTGGCATGGCAGCCTCTATCCCTTTTCCTGGTGGGGAAATATTTACTTTGTACTAATTGGTCTCCTTGGCAGCTTCAGCACGCGATCATCACAAGTCCCTGAGTGAGACCAAGCCCTCCAGGGAAAGGAGAGAAGGTGGCAGACAGCTTGGGGCAGGGGTGCAGAGCTCAGGGGAACCTTCTCGGCACGCAGCTGTCCCAGGGTGCAGACCGTGCTCAAAGCCACTCACCGGAGCCTGCTGTCTGCACGCCATCCCTGACCCCGGAGAGCCACGGTCTACAGCACCATTTATTCTTGCTCGGGACAGCGCAGGGCACCTTTGAGTCCAGGGATTTCCTTCCCACGAGGCATTCTGTGCTTTCCAAGCAATCATTCATCCCTCTGTAAGCAGTCGCATGAAGGGTGGAAAACTTGGGAAATACAACAAAAATGTCAAGGAGACAATGGAAGTCCTCTGCAATCCACCACGCAGAGATAACCACCCCAAGTACCACCCTGCGTCTCCCTATTGAAGAGTCCTTCTGACTCCTTCTCAAATGCTGTGACATAACCTGGTGTTTTTACTTAACGCTCTCCCATGCGCATTTTCCGATGTTATTTAAAAGTCTTGGGAAATAGTTTATGCTGGTGGTGTAAGATTTCATCATTTAATTTTCCATTATTTGCTTGAAGACAAATGTCTGATGATGGACATGGTTATTTGCAGATTTCACTGTTGCAAATGAGGCAAATGTCTCCTTGCATACATCACCGTCTCGCTTTTATCGCTTCCTGAAAGTGGATGAATCAGCATGGCGATTCCAGTTAGAGGTGCGGGGCGTTTGATCATGTTTAGTAGTTGGCTTTCAAATCGCTTTCCCAAAGCACCCTATCAGTCTGTAGTGCAATCCTACCACTCCTCTGTGAGGACACTCACTGCTCCCCTCCTGACCCAAGCCTGGGAATTCACATTTTAGAAAAACCCTTCCCCGATGACTGATCCACATTTCCTTGACCATGAGTAATGTCAACGAAATTTCAAATTTACTCATAGTTTATTCATGCTGCCTTTTGTGCTATTATTATTTTTAGTTAACCATCAACCTTAGTAATGAAGTAGATAGTAGGTTTTTCAAAATAACCAACCAATTACCTGGATTTATTGACCACAGCTCCCACCCCCACTGCCACGTGAAGTTAGCAGTATACCTGCGCCTCCCCTTCCCTCTCTCTGGGTTATCTCTTCTCTTCCGTCCTGGCTGTCTGTCCTTGGATCAGTATGGACCAGCGTGATGATGACTCCGGCCTCATCGACGAGGTATTCCCTCCACCTCCCTATTTTTTCTGTATTTCTTGTACTGTTTCTTATCTCTTGGAGCTTTTAAGGCTTCCCCTTGCCCTTGGTGTTTTGCAGTTTGCTGTGTTCTGCTTCCCTGAATTTGCTTGACTTTATCCTGCCAAGGACTTGAGGATATTTTAAAATCCGAGCATGTGGATCCATCTCCAGTGCGGGGAAATCTCAGGCATTATCATCGCAGGCACTGCTATTCCTGTTTTGCCGTTCCCTACTGCCCTCTTTCTAGACTTCCTGTTGGAAGCATACTTAAGCTTATTTTGTTCTCTGTCTCTTAACCACCTGTTCATGTTTCCATTTCTGCACGTCTGTGCTGTATGCTGATGAGTTTTCAAATTTTTTTCCACTGGACTATTTCTCTCTTTAGCTGCATCTTATCTACTACTAGAGTTTTTGGTTTTTGTTTTTTTTAAATTAGGAAATTTCCACATCTGATTCTTGTCTTGTAGCTGCTTGCTCTCAGTTTAAGGAACTTTAGGATGTGAATGAACACGTCCTTCCAAGATCCACCTGCTAGACTCACCTGGGAAGACGATGGGAAGCAGTGAGGTCCTGGGCCCCCGAGAGCTGGTGTGTTCCCCCTCCTCCGGCACGTGAGGTCACAGCCTCTGTCATCTTCCGCAGGAGGACGCAGCAGGAATGGCCCGAGACAAGGACTCTCCCTCTCCCCTTAGCTCTTTGGTTGTTTAAATATTTTCAGGGTAGAGTTCCATCCGGGTAACGCTCCTAGCCCCAGTCCCAGGGGGATTCTGTGGTCTACACCAGCTGACCCTGCGCTGTGCAGTAGCTGGGTCCCCTCAGCAGCTGGAATCTCCACATCCTGAGAGCAAACAGGTGTGAGCTCCAGCTTCAGGCCTCACTTCCTGGCCTTTCAAGGGCTGTCTGCTTCCGGGCTGTGACCTGCAGCCAAGGTGCGGACATTTCTGTCTGTGTTCCTGCGCTGTGCGGAGCTTTCCAGATTCTCATTTCCTAAACTCAGGCGCCAGGAGGAATTCAGCTCCTTGCTGCTCGAGGTCACCTGGCGCCTCCGCGCTGCGAACCCCAGCCCAGTGGAGGCCTCAGCAGAGCACAAGCCCTGCTCACGCCCAGCCTTCCTCCTCGCAGCACTTCTGGCGACCAGCGACTTTCCCTCCCGCTCTGGTCTCGGCTCGGCACGTGACGTGCGAAGGAGTCCTTCCGGTGACCAGAGCAGGTCCGGACAGAGCTCAGACACAGTCTTCATTCCAGTTATACCCCACCTCCTGTGGGTGCACAGAGGCTGCACGCCCGCCGGGGCCAGTCCTCCGCCTCCTCTCTCTGTCCTTCCTCCTCTGCCCCGCCCCTCCGTACCTTCCTCTTCTTTTCCTCACTTCTCAAAGCCATCTTCACGCGACTTCTTCCAGGTGCACTCTCATTTGTGACGCTAGAGAGATCGCACAGGAATTTTAATTTGAGTTAATTTAGAGGGAATTTGCGCTTGCGCAGTAGTCTTCTTGCTGGGAACTCCATGTGAGCGGAAGTTGCACTTCGCTCCTTGGTCTTCCCCGCTGTGCGTGCCTTCCCCTCCTCCCTCCTTCCCTCCTTGCGCTCCGAAGGTGACCAGCACGCTGGGTAGTGGTGCTGAGTCCTCCAAGCTGGCAGGCCCAGCGTCTTCACGTAGCCCAGAGTTCCCACTCTCTTCTGCTTTTAGAAATTACTGTTTTTCTGGGTCACATCTTTGCCTTGCTCTTCTGGACCTAACAGTCTCTCTCCCGCCCATCGTCTTTCTCATCTTCCTTCTGCATTTTGAGGGAATGCTCCAAAGCTGGGTTTTTGCAAAGTGAACCCTGCTTTCTGCATAGGGAACTCAGCTTCACTGCCTGGGAGCAGACACTGGGCCTGCAGCCCCGGGGGTCCCCTCTCTCCTCGCCCACAGCTGCCCTGTCTGACCCCCAGCCCGGGCCTGCCTCCGGAGGTGCTGGCCTGACCACCGCTGCCTCCTTGGCTCACGGTGATCGTGCTCATCGTGGGAAGTCGGTATCCACGTGACCCCCCTTGGCCCTTTGTGCCTGCACTGCCGCTGCCACGCCGTTCTCCCAGGCTGCCCATCTCCCTGCCACACCTCCCTCCCGCTCCTGCGCTCACATCTCTGCTCATGCTCCCCGTAGGATGGGAGCAGAAAAGCCCCTCATCGAACACAGGTCAAAACTAAGGATAACTTGAATTGTATGAACATCAACAAATTAAGGACGTGACTTGTCATTTAAGAGACAACAAAGAAAGCAGGACTGCTCCCTCTGAATGAAGGGCTCCCAGCGGGTGGCTGTCTCTCTTCCCTGTACCCTGAAATCTTCAGGGGCTCGTGTTACAGGGAAGGAGGAGGATGAAGCCGAGAACAGGGTGGATTTCCAGGGACTCAGATGTCCCCCGGACATCATTAACTGCAGGCCCCAGGATCTCACCCCTCAGTGGCCGCCTCCTCCTGCCAGCTGCACTGGCCACCTGCAGTTGTTTGGGTCGTGCTGGGCTCGGGAGAAGGGCGCGTGACCATTTCCAGTATCACTTGGAGACCAGCGAGAACAATCCCGACGTTACCTGCAGGGCTGGCTGTCTCGCGCCACGCACAGTCTCCTGGGTGCACTGGCTTCTCGGGAGAGGAGCGCAACTCTGCCATGATAAGCAGGGGCTGCGCAGTGCCTGGCAGGTGCTGGCTTCCTCAAGCCGAAGGCAGAGGCTGTGCAGGCAGCAAACAAACTGCCAGCCTCAGCGGTTCCCAGGCACCCCCACCGCCGCAAGTGGGGGCTCATTTCCCACCAAAACTGCAAGAAGGGCAAACAAGCAAAACACCGTGGATTCCTTTGGGGTCTTTGGTGCACTGTGTAAAGTCCCTTCAGCAGAGCGCAAGGGTTTCCTGAGCACCTGCTCTGAGCCGGGGACGTTGTGCTGCGCTGGAAATGGAACTGGACCCTGGTAGTGGACAGGGCTAAGTGCCAGTTCCAGAGCCATCAGATTCCCAAATGGATGAGGCGCCAGCAGCTTATACCAAATGCTGCCCAGAACCTACAGTCCTCCTGTACACTCTACACGCTGCGGGTAGCTCGCAGTACGACAGGCTGTCAGTGCTATGTGTGTGCGTAGCTGCTACACGGCAGGTGCTCTATTGCTGAGCCACAGCGAGATCTTTAGGAAAAAGAGCAGTGAATAACAGAAGACAGGAGATGTAGAATGCGGCTGCTTCTGTCTTTCTGATTTACTTCTCTTCTATTACGGATTTGTCATCTCTCTCTAGTACAAGAGCAGTGTGCCTCTACTGTGGAAATACAGACCATTCCTCTTCAAAGAAGAATCCTCAGAGAATCTCACCTCCAGAAGCATCCACTGCCCACACCTGAGTGCCCGCCTCCCCTGCAGGGACGCCAGGGACCCGAGATCCCAGTGGACGGCCAAGACTGTGGAGAGCATCACAGCCCAGATACTGTCCATGTGCTTTTCATGTACGTGCATTCCTAGGATACCATTTAGCTATGAATCAGGTAAGTCAGAGATCTGAAACAATAGCTACAATAAAACACAACTGTAATGGTCAACTGTAAAGGCAGTTAGGTGACCAACCCCCCATCGTGTTGGACACTGCACACATCCGGATCTACCGCTGCATGTGAGGAACCCCACTCCTCTATACTTCTCAGGACCAAGGCGCAGACCCTGTTTCTTTCCCTTTGTTTTCAGTGCAGGAGATTAACCTGAGGCCTCACCCATGCTAGGCAAGCCCTCCGCCACCACTCACCCTGAGCTGCTCCCGGAGCAGTCAGGCTCCTTAAAGCTGCCATTTCAATCTGCAGCCATGCTGTTAACATCTCCACGCTTTATCAAATCCCCTCTCCTGCAGCAGCCCGGGGAGACGTCCCTGTGCACGGACATTGCTGGTATTTACCCTTCGCCGATTTCTCACTTTCTACTCTTATAAACAAAGAGCCATGAACATCTGTCCAGCCGCATCTGTGCACGCAGTCACTTCCTCAGGGCCCTGTCTCAGAAGGCGATGGCTGGATTAAAGCACGCGGCCTACGGCTTTCTAAAAAATTACCAGGGGGCAAGTGAACTTTTAAAAACCAGTATTGTTTCCAAACAGAAGGGAAAGACTCACGGCTCAGGACGCACCATGGATGGGGGGACAGGGTGCAGACAGGAGGTGCCTGACTGCCGAGGGGACCAGAGCTGAGGTCCGGGTCCGCGGGGCAGGTGTGGCTGGGCACAGGGCAGGTCCTCAGGGCAGGCCTGGCTTTCTCCTTGGCGTCTGCTGTGTGCCCTCATCAGCACATTGCCAGAGTTCTCAGGGTGGGGCCTGGGCCCACAGCCTTGGGACAGACACCTGACTGGCGGCAGGGGGTTCAACCCCCCAACACACACAGCCGACTCGCTGCTCTGATCAGAGCCCTGCATGGGCTCCTGCAGAGAGGGCAGGTTCCCAGCAGCAGGCAGTAGCCCCTGAAGACAGACAAAGATAATGTGCCCAGCACAGTCCAAACCCGGGCTCGGGCACTGCTCCCCTAGTGGTCTGTGGAATCAGTTAAGGGAAAACCAACTGGCAGCCTGTCGGAGCCACTGCGCCGTGACAGCCCTGTGCCCAAGCACCGGCACCGGCTGAGCTCTTCCTGCCGTAACCTGCTGTCTGCATGTCTATCATGACAAAGTTCACACTTGGTAAAATCCACCATGTGGCTTTTAGTTGCAACAAACGTGCACAGTTGTTCAAGCGCCACCTCTCTCAGGATGCCGGCAATTCCACCGCCTTCCTGAGCTGCAGTCCCTCACCTCTCCCGGCCTTTGGATCAGGAAGACGCGGGCAGCAGCTCACCCACACGAGTGTCGCTTTGATGACGTCTGCACGGAAAGAGCATCTCACAGCTACCTCCGTCCGGTCCACAGTCTGCTCAGATGTGGGAATGGCGGGAGGAATGCGTGTGTGTCGAATGCCAGCAACACTAATTCAGCAAAATTGCCTTCAGAACCCACCCAAGCACTCTGCCGCCTGCCAGCGAGCGTCTCACAGCCCCTCGCCCCGGGAGCCCACCCAGGTCGTGTCAACGGCCGCCTTCCAGAGCTGCGGGGTGGAGCGGAGCTGCTGTCCGGTGGCAGGATGGGGACATCAGGAGGACCGGGAGGACCCAGCTGGTGCAGAGCAGGGCTCCTGCAGAGGGTGCGGTGCGGGTGGAGGGAGGCAGCCCCATGAACGTGGGGTGCAGAGGCCAGCACCAGGCACTGCGGGCGTCCTGCAGCAGCAGGGCCACGGCAGAGCGCTCTACTGTTGCCCGTCATTCCCTGCAGTTCTCAAAGAGGGGCCTGTTTTAAAGTGGAGAAGACGCGGGACTGCCTGCCAGGCGCCTGGCTGGGGTGCCATCTATGTTCCTGGGCATCACATGGGTGTCTCAGGCAACCCCCACACTCCCCTCGGCCCCAGAGACTGATATAGCCTCCTCCGCAGCTGTCACAGTATGCTCTGAGGGCTCCGTGTCAGGTAGCACACACAATCCACGCAGAATAGTCAGGAAGCATTGCTGGCCCTTCCCACAGATGAGAAGACTGAGGCCCAGGGAAGGCGCTTTACAGAGCTCACTGCAGGCAGTGAAGAGGCTGCGCTGCGCCAGGGTCTGTGATTTTAACCGCCTCGCACCCCCGCTTGAGAGCCGGACGTGGTGGGGAGGCAGAAAAACAGGCTGGAAAACCCAGATGTGGAGTTTGCTTATCTACAAAGACAGACATTCTCCCCGAAGGACAGAAGGAGGCTTCTGAATCTGCATGCGAACATCACAAACACAGCCCAACTCAAACACAGATGCAGGACTTAGGCATGTGGCTCCCAAGATGCCCAAAGCTTCCTCCTCAGGTGGGAAGGTGCCCACTGTCGCTGCTGACCGGGGAAGCGCAGGTCACAATCCCGAGGACACGCTGCCTCGCACCCAAGGGTGTTGGCAAGGAGGAACCAGGGAGACAGCTCAGCGGCACAGAGTCTGCCAACAAACCCCAAGCCCCGAAGTCAAATCCCGGGAACAAAAAAAAAATTAAACACAGCCCCATCATACAATCCCGCAATCCCCCTTCTGTGTAAGTAAACAAGAGAACTGAAGGCAGAAACTGGAGCAGATTCTTGACACCCACAGTCACAGCAGCACTGTTCATGAGAGCCAAGAGCTAGAAACAACCCAAGTATCCACTGACACATGAACGGGTCAGTAACATGTGTTCTACACATGCTATGGAATATTACTCAGCCTTGAAAAATAAAGATAATAGGAACAGGAAGAGAGGCTTTGTGAGTGACAGGGATGTGGAGGTAGGAGACATGGAAGGAAGAGGAGGGCCGGGGAAGAAAAAGGGTCAGATGTGCTGTGTGTATGTACCACGTGTGTCCTGAGTATATGCACCATGAATTGCAAACACATACTTATGAAACAGAAAGAAAAAGGAGAGTCTGACCCATGCTACACCTTAAGGACGTTACACTGGAAGAAATAAAGCAATCATAAAACAGCAGTCACGTGGCTCCATTCTGGGAGGCCCCGAGGCCTCAGGCCCGCAGAGACAGGAAGTGGGATGGAGGGTGCCCGAGGCAGCGAGCGCTTCGTGGGCACCAGGTTAGGTTTAAAGACGAAGGCGCACGGATGGGGCGACGGCTGCACAGGGAGGGCTGTGGGGGGCTGAAACGGTCAGAGGGGCTGACACCGCACGTGGCACCCCCGATACCAGCAGCGCACAGCACCAGTCCATCCGCCAGCCAGAGGTGGGGGGCGGGGCAGGGTGCGTCAGGGCTCCGGATTCTTCTCTGTGAGGAATGGCCTTATTTCCTCTCCATGCTCTGCAGCACCTTGACGGCAGCCACCTGCCTTATAAAACCGTGGGCTTTATATTCGGAAATTGTGGAGGTTGTTCACGGAGCGCCCCTTTCCGTGTCTCCGCCGATGCCTCCCCCCGGGGTCCTCATCCCTGGAGTGGGGAGGCTGTTACGTGACCCATTTCCAGAGGAGAAAGCAGAGACTCTGAGAACAAAATGAAGGCCCAAGGTCACAGCAGGGCGGGTGGGGGAGTCAGGACCCGGGCCGCCCCAGCATCCTCCCGGCCTCAGTGAGAGGCTGGGCTCTGCGAGGGTCTGAGTCCAGCAGCCTCTCCACAGAAACCCTTGGGTGTCAAGTAGCAGGAGCTTCGCCCAAAAGCCCTGAAATCCTGCCGGGCGGTCGTGCCTGGGAGCTCCATGCACAGGGCACAGGAAGGCAGGTCTCACGGCCCACAGATCGGGCCTCAGCATCCCCGCTGAGCGTCCACACGGCTAGCATGAGCAGCTCAGCACCGCCGTCCACACCCACTCTCCGTTCCAGGGAAATGTGGCTGCATTCGGAGCCCCTGGTGTCCGCCACCCTGAGCTGTCCCTCTGAGCCTTCACAAGGCTCCTGCCCAGCTCCTGCCGAGGCCAGCCTGCGCTCGTCCTCTGTCCACTCCCACCCCCAGAGCCGCGTCTCAGGGGGCCTGGGCGAGCCCACTCCAGCCTGTCCCCTCCTCCCTTGCAGACACTACGACCAAATCACATCCACTGCTGGCCACTTTTATTCTTGATTCTCTGGTTTCTTACACAAGATGCGAGAGATGCCCAGGACAGCCCGTGCTCACTCTGCCCCCGCGGGCCTGGGGCCGCTGTCATGGACCTGGTGCGGTCTGCAGGGTCTGAGTGGCTCTTGGCTGGGGTCTCAGGGCCACCTGGGTCACACCGCCTTCTCCTGCCAGAAGGCGACAGAGCCTGGGTGGTCAGGGAGGACAGGCGGGTCTGGGACACTTGCGGGCTGGTCCCTGGCCCCTGTCCCAAGCTCTCCTCTCCTCGGAGCTCCGGCGGCGGCCCGTCTCTGTCCTCCTCGGACACGGCCGGGCCCTGCGTGTGCTCAGTGGGCCTGTCCTCCGGCCTCTGTGGTGCTGTGTGCGGCCGCGCGGCTCCTCGCTGGGTCTGGCTCTGTCTAAAGAGCCTCTAATCGCACTCCGCTGCCGCAGACGGACTTGGCAGCGCTGTGGAGAGTCCCTCCTCCTCTTCTTTTTTAAGTTGCAAATGCTTAAAATTCGGCTGGCCTTTTTGCTCCCAAGGGGAGCCCCCCAGCGCCAGCCCCCATGTGCCGTTGCCGTGGCAACCTCCCCTTCCCTTTAAAGTCTGGAATGCCACATTCCATAAGATCCGCACAGAAAGCCGCTTGATCACAGGAGAAGGCCTGTCTGTCAGCTCCAACATTCTGTATCAATAAACACACTCCGGGACCCCTCTCGGCCTCGCGGTAAGAAATCGCACTTCGACACTCGGCTCGGGACGCAGGACGGGTCTAGGACAACAGAAGCCCCTGCCGGGTGAAGCGCAGACGCCCCTGCACCCGCCCCGGGCCACACTGGCATTTTAAACTATCCTCCCAGCAACACCGACGTGCGTTACAGGCCCCGGGTGAAATTACACATACAGCAGAACGGGGCACCAGGCTCCAGAGCCTCGATTTTACACAGCTACGCAGGGCATTTAAAATGTTAAAGTACATTTAAGTCCTCAAATAAATACATAACTTTAATTAGGTAAAGAACTACATTTCACGAAAATGATGGTTATTTGCCGAAGGAAAATAACCTCTAAGTCATGTTTACAACTTAATGGTTAGTCATTTTGGAAGGAACGGCCCCTTCTTTTCAGTCTATATGTTCAACTATTTTCAAAAAAAAAAACAGGCGAAGGACCGATTGCTGTTAGGGGAAAGATTGTTGTGTGTTTTGTCTCTGATAAGATGGATGAAAATAAACAAAGATACAAAGTTTCCTTGTACAGAGAAATTGCTTTGTCCCCAAAACATTCCCACAACCAGAATAAAGCACTGAGATTATGACGGATGCTTTGTTATAGTAACACAAAATTCCTCAGTATTGAATAATGATGGATTCTGTTTGTTACTAAGAAGAGGTTTTTTTCTTTAATTATTTCAAGAGCACACCCTTCATCACTCCTCATGGAGCTCGCTGTGACTTTCAACACTGAGGTGGTGTCAGCATGGATCCCAAGAGCGAGGGCTCTGCAAATCGCCCCGAGAGCTTGGCCTGGGTCCTGCAGCAGGCGGGGGCACCGTCCACAGCCGGCCGCTTTGCGGGCAGGGCAGCGCGGGGCGGCTCAGGCGGCTGGTCAGGTAGTGAACACAAAGAAGCGCACAGGCTCACGGCCCCACAGACACGCGGGCGCCTTGGCAGTGTTTTCAGATGTGTGTGGGGCAGAGGTGGCCAGGTGTGGCCCCGTCATAAATCTGCTGAGTGCAGTCGCACGACAGAATCAAACACTGCACATCCTGCTGATTTATGCTGCTGCAGAAAATCACAGCGCAAAGTGAGAGTGCCCAGGGCCTGAGCAGAGGTCCTGGCCCTGCAGGGACCTGAAGAATGACCACCAACCCTTCTTCAAGTGTCCAGGCCACTCACCTACAAGACTGAGCCTGGGAGAGGTTGGATATCTGTGCATGGGGGCGCACCTCTATAATCCCAGCACTCGGGAGGATGAGGCAGGAAGATCATTGCAAGTTCGAGGCCAGCCTGGACTACATAGTGAGGCCCTGTGTCAATCTGTACCCACCCCAATAAAAAGAGACATTGCATTTGTATGTTTCTCAAATTAGCGTCTTTAAACTTTCCCCTTTATTGTTTTCTAATTATACAATACACTTCCCATCATGTGGCTTAGTAAAGAAGCAAGAACACCAAGCCTGATCTTTTATGAAGTCTTTTTTATTTAACAAGTTAATAGGCCAAACAAATTCATTGTTCAGACACTGTGGACATGTATTTTACAACAATGTTCCGCTTTGTGAAGCTTGTGTTTGTATGTCTATGTGTAAATATGGGCCTAAATGTGTAAAAATTATACACCTTTCATAATTACAGAAAAACATTCTCCATTCTAGAAATATTTAGAGACAGGAAATTCTATTTCTGTTGCCAGAATGCAGATTTATAAAAATGTCTTGTAATTTAAGAGAATTATAGATGGAAAAGATTTCTGTCCTTTTCCTTTACCTAGAGCAAATTCAGGGAAATCAGAGGCCTGAGAGGGTCGTTTTCATCAGAAATACCGCATGCCATGTCAGAAACGCACCCTGAGAATGAGAAGATCCAGCTATAGCCGTCTCCTTTCAGCTCGTACGAAACCCTTCCAGGGAGCTACATAAAGAGTTACCAGTATTTCCACCAAAACATAAGCGGTAGAAAGAACTTTCAATAAAGCCAGAGGTTTGATTTGGTCTGGTTTTATTTTTAAGGCAAGATAATGAAAATGAGATTATACTGATTTTGACATCAGATCTGTCAGTTTTCTCATAAGTTTTATTTATTTTAAAATTTTCATTTAAGGGTTTAGAACACTTAAACCTTACTCAGTTACCACACCAAGAAAAGAAACCTATCTGAATTAAGAGGTATATTTTCCTGCGTAGTTTCAAATTACTTTTTATTTTTTAATTAAATGTAAAATTGCTTGGTAAGGCTTTGGTACTTCTTAGCCGCTACAAAGCAGAAATTCATTTAAGCTTCCATTTAGCAATCTACAGCTTATTAAGGGTTTAAATAAGTGAAAATTAAAAAGTAATTTAAAGAAAAAATTCCATTAACTATAAAATGGTCTATATTAAGTTTATTAAAAATTATGGAACTGCTACCAGAGCACGTTTTCAATTTTAAAAATTACTTTTAAAAGACTTAAGCAGAATACCATTTAGGCAGAAAAACTAGACATTTGTTAGGGGAAAAAAGTCATGCCCTGATTAACCAAGGGCATAGCATAAAACATCCTGAAAACCTTAAAACCTCTCTGGCCGGAGGATTTCTGTGGCCCCTTCCACCAGGCCACCCGAGCTCCCGGTGGAAATACTTTCCTTATGGTACTTTCATTTTCCCGAAGGAACTCGCTAGTGTTCGTAAAAAGAGACTATCCTTCGTGTTTCATTGT